ACATTCATTAGATATCCTATATAAACAAATAATTGTTAACTGCTATGACTTTATTGCAGTTATCAACCAACTTTGCATGTGTGGCTGATAGCACAAAAGACCATTTTACAAAAATAAACATATAAGCAAACAAATAAACCTTATGAAGGAGCATGACCCCGGACTCCACTAAAACAGTTCACGCTTCAATGTTCGAACCAAAACTACGCCCTTGCTTGTCATCCATCCTGAGGGCAGCCGGAGTGCAGCATCCACGCGTCAGTTAGCGATAAGGCCTCCCCGGGTAACCATGGTAAACGACCAAGATTGCTGCTAAACTGGGTAGTTTGATTGAGTTAGCGCTAATTCACGTTTAATGACACTATTGATTGGAACACGCGGGTGTTTGTGTTCTAACAGCCTCTGTCAAACCAATCAGATTAGCTGAGTACACCTGTATAACCGCGGAAACAAATAGCGCAAAGCAAACAGATTGACGGGACGAGCTCGCGAGCGAGAGAAACGCTGCGATAGCTCTAGGATCATTTAGCAATCAGGCGGCAGTCAGACAAAGCGGGGATATCTGTGACCAGACTCCAAATGAGCGAGACAGAGACTAAGTGAGAAACAGAAAGCTCACAAGTGCTAAGTACTAAGAATTGAAGATCACTCTTTGCTGTGCGCGCACACATAGCGCTCAATCTATCACCACAACACACTCCTGTGGGAGAGAGAACATAACACATCCGACCATCACCAGATTAATGGGTTAACACCCGGCACGTGCCCATAATGTGCTCCCGGGGACGCGGAGATTAGGCCGAGGCAGACAGTCCCGTCTTCAGTGTGCAACACAGACGTCTATCGATCTTCGCTATGTGTGCGTGTCTGTTCAGTGTACTAGACTCAAAGCGAGGTAAAGAGTGATGAGCATGTCACCAGTGCTTGCTCTGCTGACAGTATGTAAGGACTGTTGACAAGTTAAGATGAAGCCTCACACACAAGCTCTCTCAGGAATAATAGGGCCCTTTTTCTTTCTGTCAATAACCGTGAAGTGTTTCAGGGTGTGTGTTCGCACTCAAATAGTATCTGTAAAATATATATATGTAATATGGGAATAAAAGCAAGCCCTAGAGGTGAATATGTGGCCTGGTTTAATATGGTTGACCAGGCCAATTTCAGCAAGTGTTCACACATGGTGGGATGTGAAGCTGATTATTGTGAAGTTAGCATGTTTCGCCGAGTAAACAAACACTGTTTGGGTTTGGATACACACTCAGTGATAATTTGCTTGATTGTTTTTGTTTGTTTGTTTGCTACTTTGAAGAACTTGCAACATTTAGGGTCATATAATGCAACTCGATGCAGCTTTTCAATTGCAATATGATTTTTAAGTTGAACCAACAAACACAGCAAGTGATCTGGTTTGATGTTTTTTTAACTGTACACAGAAACCTGCTTCTTCCTGCAATGCACTGCAGCACAAGTAATTATGGTTACTTTGTTTTGTCTTTTATTTCTACAGTTTTTAAAAAATATATTTATTTTTCTTAACATTTAAAATGTACTTCTCTCTGGTCATGTATGCTAGTGACCAGACTTCTCGTTATTTATGAAATTTTTACTTTATTAAACCCTGCCCCTTTCTTATAATCGACTGCAAGCTTGCATTCAGATTTGCCTCCATCCAGTTAGCAACCGATGAATAGAACCAAGTCCAAGTCATGTTTTGTCCTTTATGATAATCTGGTTCAACTGGATATACATCACAAAACAGAATAAAAAAGATACTAACGTTGCATATCGACATATCGATTTTTGCTCCTTGTCATGTATGTTTCCGATGTACACATAATATAAAATTGAAAACTGTTCAAATAAAGGGAACAAGCCACATAGAATTCTTTTGGATACCTATTTAAATATTTAATCTTTAATGATGGTTTGAAATTTTATGTCGACAGCTTGACATTTTAGTTAAAGTGAAGACATTTACATTGAATAATTACATAAATGAATTCAACTTAAAAAGCCATGCAAATTTTTGCCATCACTTTTGTTACTGTTAATATTGTTAATATGCCTTTGAATATGTTAATTAACAAGTGAAAATCAAAGACTTCATTTGATATCAGCCCTGCATGTTAAAATTTAGTTTGTATATGTTCAAATGCAAAACATGCCTTAAAAATAAACTTTCTTGGAAATTTCAAATAAATATTATGTTAGTTTGCAGATACTATTTTGATTTTAAACCTCTGTGGTCAAGCAGGTTCCATTGTGTCTCTCTCTAACTCTGTCTTTCTCTCTTCCTTTCCCTCCATCAGTTCGTCTCCCCTCTGCGTTTTTGAATGGGACCTGCGGCCATTGTCTCTGTGTCAATCACACACTCTCACACACATACCCAGGAGACACACAATTGACATTTGGCAGATTGCTCTGTGTGTGTGAGTGTGAGAGTGGATGTGTGTGTTTTAGGTTATTAAGATAAGGCAGGTATGCCGTAGGTTCTTCATTAACATGTTAGAGGATCTCATCATCCTTTCTCCTCTAGCACTGTGGCCGTAATTGAGTAAGGCTATTAGACACAGCCTGTGTGATGGCAGGAGGGGGATGGTGGCGTGGCCAATGGTGGAGGATGGAGTCTTATAACTGCATGACACAGTGTGTGTGTATGAGAGCATGTCTATATATGTGTGTATATGCATGTTGATGGGATAGGGCTATTAAAGATGATGTCGGTTTAGGTAGACTTTAATAGTCCTGCTGAGCAGCGGGTAATTGGCCGTATCCTGAGAAGATAGGAGAGATTGATTTAGAGGTGCCTGTGTTTAAGTGGACACCTTGGAGGGGTGAATTTTTAAGCTTTAATTGTGGCTATAGTGCCACTTGGCATCTGTAACCACAATATGAATGTGAGAAATGGAAATATGAGTATACTTTATAATTTAGGTTGTTTCAGTCATATTTCATATTCATATTTTTGACTTTAATAAATCATTTAGATGTTATCTATTTGTAGCTGTCTGCTTTTATGATTTTCTGAAATATCACACACTCTTAAAAATAAAGGTCTCAAAAGGGTGTTTTTCACAGTGATGGCATAGAAAAAACGTTTTTGGTTTCCCAAACCAAATGATCGAATCATTTTAATGATCGAAAGAACCTTTTCCCATTATAAAGAACCTTTTGTGGAATGGAAAGGTTCCATGGATTTGAAAGTTTCTTCATGGAACCCTTGATGCCAATAAAGAACATAAGAGTGCAGCGATTTGTTCTAAGGTCTTTTGGATAGTGAGAACTGCTTTTCTGTTTTGAGTCCCCCCCCCCTCTTTCTCTCTCTATTTTCAGTGTTATTTATTTTCAGCCTTTCATGGATTTGCTGATGGTCTCTTATGTTCTTCTTGAATCACATTCCACCATAGTACTTAGATATTGGCTAGAAAAAGTCATCCCTTAAAACTGTGAGTGACGTCTGACAGTAGAGCGTGTTAAAACAGGAGTTTTAAAAACAGGAGGAATGAGTGGTGCAAATTATATAGGGAAATACAAGAAAAGCTATTTCAGTATGACCAAAATGGAATCTTAATCTCAGAATGATAAGTGCACTGTAACAAAAATATCAAAATAATATATAATAGTATAACATTTAAAAGCATAATTTAAATGTACACCATAGTAAATAGTTTCAATACTGTATAAACATCATAATTTCCCATAATGCTACAAACCTAAAAAGCTGTAGATTCATGATACAATATTGCCACATGATGTCTTCGCGACATACTCTTTCTGTTTAGAAATTAAACACTGCCATCTTGTGGTTGATGAGAGGTTTACATTCTCCCTATTGCCATTGTGCAGGTGTGTCCAAATTTGGTCCTTGAGGGCCACTGTTCTGTAGAGTTGAGCTCCAACCCCAATTAAACACGCCTGAACCAGCTATTTAAGCATACTAAGCTTACTAAGCATACTAGAAACTTCCAGGCAGGTGTGTTGAGGCAAGTTGGAGCTAAACTCTGCAGGACAGTGGCCCTCCAGGACCAAGTTTGGACACTCCTGCCATTGTGAAAAGCACAAAAGCTTTTGGTTGAAAAAGGATAACTTAAAAAAATCAGCTCTTGCATGTCTAATTAAGAACTTTTTGTACATTGTACAGAATGAGTTACCAGAATTTTACCATATAATAAATTCAATGGCAATGTTCCAAGAAGATTAAATTGCTGTATATTTTATATTTCCTATACTTGTAGACCTATATGTCATGAAATTTTATAAAACCTCTGACCTATTACAATGTTTGTTACTGTAAAATATATAATAATACATCTGATGGTACAATGAAAGGCCTCACAATGACGTTTAATTCATTTAAATGGGCTCTGCAGCAATTGACCAATAACAAAATAAAAACTTAACCAAAATTGTTAACCACACACTCACACATACACACACACACACACACACACACACACACAAATCCTATAAAAATTAACTAAACAACATAAACGGCAACATAACTGAGAACTAAAATGTGTGTGTGTGTGTGTGTGTGTGTGTGTGTGTGTTTTTTTTATAATTATGGAAATAGGCCTAACTCTTTGCCGTAAATTACAAGGTGGTTCATACTTCATAAAACCACACTATAACAATATTTTATCATATAAATATAGTTATTGCCTTGTTAAATTTACATTTTTTAATTTGTATGAATTATAGGTTTATTCATATTTTACTAGAAAACGATGTTACAAATGTTACAGTAGAATGAGTAGACTGTCTTTAACAAATATATATGTTTAGTACCGTTTATAACGTTCATTTAACCAATTAGCGTGTTTTGTTGCAGCAGTTTTACATTCTTTTCCCTTTAAACATTTACAGTATCTGACTGCGCTTCATTTTCACACGTAGTGCGATGCTATTGGAACGCAAAACTGGCAATCTGTACGTGCGAGGCGAAGAAAACACGGCCGGAGAGGGGAGACATAATGTGTTAAATTAGTGTACGACGGTCCGATAAATTCAGAAATGTACAATAATGCGGTAATAAATTTAAAAAGTTCTATTGCTAAATACTGTATACGGTTGATATTATGACTGAGCGCCGTGTCGTTATCAAACAACATCACTATCGGTTACAAATCTCACCATAAGCGGATTGGTTTAACCCTATTCATTAACGGCACCCGAGCCTGGCGCCTCTCAGCACCCCCTCCCCCGCGGACCAACAGAAACGCTTTATCATGAAAGCGATTTAATTAGCTATATTTTATTATTTGTTATCAGTCTAAGCATCAGTACTGGAATGCGAAAAGTAAATCAGGCCCGAGTCTCTTTGCGTGTACAATAACCATTATCGTATAATTAGGTCCAGGGCATCCAGTCATGTTTCTTGTGCGTCAGCTGCTGCAGATCTCTGTGCTGCTGGATGCGACGTTGTGGCTGGCGATTTCTGCCAGCCCTACCGATGATAATGTACTGCGGGGCGGCCATGGAGAACACGGAGAGCCGGGGCATGAAGAACCCCATAAGGATTCTTACAGCACATTCGCCTCCGAGTTCCTCGAATCCAGATACCTCTCAGACGAAGGTACGATGGAATAAAACTGTAACGCTTAATCTGAAGTCATCAATGCTGTTTTTGTGTTGTTTCTCAGTATATGTGAGTGCAATTCATAGAAGCACTGAATACATGTAGTGAATGGTCACCATCTGATGCCCTTCCTCGACCACAGGCCTTTTAATTAGGTTAATAATATTGTCTGTTATTGATAATTATTATCATTTTTTTTTTTACAAGAGATTGTTTTTGATTCGCTAATATAATCATATGGTACAACATCAGCACCTTGGTCAGCACCCCACAAGACTCACATCCAGTTACCCGCAGGCTTTCCCAACCCCATATTTTGTAGTCTACTTTTTTGGAGAAACTGCAGATACCTAGACAGTGGTTCATTAAGTCGCAACACATCAAATAGAATAGAATAGAATAGAAACTCTTATGGCCACATGACTGGGCCTGTGTTGTAGGTACAGCTATGTAACATACCTGATGGGACAGTGTTCAAAAGAATAAATGTGTGAATATGCAATATCATGTATAATATACAAAACAATACAACATACACTACCGTTCAAAGGTTGGGGGCTGGTAAAATAAAAAATTTCAAAGCTTTTAGAGATTTTAAAGATCTAAGATTTTAACGACCCTAGGAGGTCTTTGTGGGTCATAAAGGCAACTAATATTTTTTTTTTCTTTTCTCAAACCTGTGTGTGTGTGATAAAAAAAATGTTACACAACACGCTACATTACGCAAACTTTACCCAAAGCTAAGGTTAAGAAACTGAAGTTCAACAAAGTCACTGTCCATCCCACATTGCAATGTATTAAGTAAAATTAAAATGTAACATACAAATATATGACGTCATTAATGATTATTTTTGTAGTAGGACTAGCTGAAACAGTTCATTAATGTATTGTGTCTAATGTCTCATATAGGTTACCCCTTCCCAACTGCACCCCCTGTAGACCCATTTGCCCGCATCAAAGTTAGCGACTGTGGAATAACCAAAGGATGCATCAGGTGAGCAGATGGAATAAAGCTTAAAATGAGTCTATAAACAATAGACTATCGTAGTGTCAATGTCAAACTGTGTATTGCAATCAAACTGCAGTCTGCCATGCTATCCAGTACACTCAAGTGTGATTGTCAATACGAGTAGTCAAGCTGCTACTCATTGTCATTCAGTGAAATGTTCTGGAGCATGAAATATACATGCACATCATGTAGGATGTTTGAATGTATGTTTTGATGGTTATTATTAAAGGGATAGTTCACCCAAAAAATCAGTCATCATTCACTCATCTTTATGTTGTTCCAAACCTGTATGACTTTATTTCTTCTGTGCAACACAAATATTTAGCTGTTTTTGTCCATATAATGAAAGTTAGCAGTATTTAAAACAACACAGGACCCCACTGACTTTCATTTTATGGAGGAATAAACATAAAATGAAAAGAAATTTTTTCGAAATATCTTTTTTTTATGTTTCGCAGAGAAAGTCAGATCGGTTTGGATTCACATGAATGAATAAACTGTCCACATTTTAAGTGTGCCTCACTTTGTCTTCCTCTTAACCTTTCTGTTGCTGTAGATATGGCAAACCAGGCTGTGACGCAGAGACCTGTGACTACTTCCTGAGTTTCAGGCGCATTGGCACAGATGTGGAATTTGAGATGAGTGCAGACACCGATGGATGGGTTGCTGTCGGTTTCTCCTCTGACAAAAAAATGGTAGAGAGAGAGGGATTACATATAAATGGTGTGAATGCTTTCAGACCTTTTAAGAAATACACAGTAATATTGTTGTCGTAGGGAGGTGATGATGTCATGGGCTGTGTTCATGATGATAATGGACGTGTACGGATCCATCATTTCTACAACGTGGGCCAGTGGGCCAAAGAGATCAAGCGCAACCCGGCGCGGGACGAGGAGGGCATCTTTGAAAACAACCGTGTCACGTGTCGCTTCAAACGGCCTCTTCACGTGACTCGGGAAGAGACGCTGGTAGACCTGCACCTGAGCTGGTACTATCTGTTTGCTTGGGGACCTGCCATACAAGGTAAAGAAATTCAGCCTCATTTTAAAAGAATAGTTCCAGTTCCAGTGGATCCAGTGATAGGTGTCATCAGAATGAGAATCTAAACAGCTGATAAAATATGCACAGATCAAGCACAGTTTACAGGCAAAATATAAATAAATTACGAAAAACAGTCCAAAACTGTTTATGTTGGTGGGTTTTGATGTGAGAGGACAACAGAGGACAGACTTTTCTCACTAGAGGAAGTGTTGTTCTTGATTATGGACTGGTATTTTGGCCAGAAGTGATGGTTTAAAGTTAAAATGCCTTGATGGATTTGTTACTTACAAACACGCAGCTTTCACTTCACAAGACGTTAATTGATGGACTGGAGTCGTGTGGATTATTGTGATGTTTTTGTCAGCTGTTTGAACTGATGGCATCCATTCACTGCAGAGGATCCACTGGTGAGCAAGTTAATATAATGCTGTAAGAAATGATGTAATAAAAAATTTCTCCAAATCTACATCCAAGGCCATAGCCATGTCTTGAACATTTGGGGGGACCAGGAGCACAGAAACTTGTCAATGCTGCCCCGCGACTTTTCTCAATAAAATAGATTTGTTACTGAATCTCTGAATAGCTGAATAGCTGTCGGTCATTTAACATTTCTATCGTAAAAAGGTTGACTAATATTAATGATTTACAACTTCCATCTTCTCTTTCTCTCTTTCCTCGCTGGAATTTGCACTCTGCTTCTATGAACAGTAAACCCCGCCTACTTTGATTTGATTTGGCCATCTCAATTATTTTGACATTGATGAGCGCTGTTAGACCGCTGAGGCAGAGCAGGCTAAAAATTTAACTTTTAAAGTTTTTTGTCATCCTAATGAAGTGCTGCAGAGCAGTATATTGGGGGGATTGGGGGGACAGTTTGGCCATTTCTAATTATTGGGGGGGGACTTTGTTCTGTTTTTCTTCTCAGGTTCCATCACAAGGCATGACATTGACTCTCCACCGGTGTCAGATCGCATGATTAGCATCTATAAATACGAGGACATTTTCATGCCTGCCACAGCCTATCAGACATTCTCTTCTCCCTTTTGCCTCCTCCTCATCGTTGCTCTTACCTTCTACCTACTGATGGGCACACCATAACCAGCAAATCCGTGTCACTGAGAGAAGAGAGAATGAATACAACTAACCATGGAGCCACTATTAGCACGATTGTGTGCCAACTTTACAGTATTAGAAACAGGCAGCAATAAATTGCGATTCTACAATATCCTCAATCTACGTACACTAAGAAGGTATTTGGACTGTGAATTAATATTCAGTTATATACAAGCAATGATTCTCATTCAGAGGAGATAGTCAACCATACACTTATTACATATTACAATATATTTTATTTTGATAAAAGAGTAGAGTACCCCAAATGGTATGTTACGGTAGGTATTTGAAACAATCTGAGCCAAATTAATATTAATATTCAGTATACTTAAAGTGCGGTCACATTAGTTAAATTTCAGCAAAATTTTGTGTGCAAAAAATTCCATTGTACATCACTGTCAAACCAAGCAGCTTTCTATTAGTCAAAGCTGTAAATCCATGAAAAACTTGCGAAATCGGTCTGAGGAAATATTTCGCCTTTATGTAAAATTCTCAAACACGTGAATTCCTATTGAAATTACTGGATTTCACCCACAAAAATTTGCTCAACAATGGTAAATGTGACTGCATCTCTACAGTGGCATATATTATGTCCCACTAAAGAACTCTACGGGGAAGTGAATTGCCTTGTTCTATTGAATGGAATATGTTTTGCCAAATCTCAGTAGAGGTGCTCTGCTGTTTGTAGTTGTCTGCTTTCCAATGTTTTCCAATATATTACAGCTCTGATTACCATTTATTAAGGCTGTGGATTTCAGAGTGATGTAAATTAATGCCTGTGATTGACTACGCAACTTACAGCAGTACATAACAGGCCCTACAGCACAAACACACATACATAGTATTCAAAAAACATTACTGCCTTCCAGTTAGCCAGCATTGCCAGCTCAGTATTTGATGATGCATGCCAGCAAACTAGTCTCATCTGAGCCATTTAGATCAGTGTCCCCTGGAAAAGAACCAGTCCAGGAGAGAATCATCTGATTTTCATTCCAGTGAATTAAAAACTTTCTATACCAAGGACTTCATGCCATTGCAAAACTTACAAAGAGTCCAATAACTGATTGCTGCCTGTGTAGAAAGATTTTTATCACACCAGTTAGTGTGTGATCTATACCAAGGACTTCATGCCGTTGCAAAACTTACAAAGAGTCCAATAACTGATTGCTGCCTGTGTAGAAAGATTTTTATCACACCAGTTAGTGTGTGGCTGTATTCTGGTAATTATTTGGCACTCTTTGAAAATGTCCTGTAATAACACTTGTATAGCAGTCTGAAGAGCAACATGTAAAGATATTTAGAAAGGTATTTAGTTTAAAATATGTTGTTATATTCACCTTAAGGTATATGTGGAAATGTACTTGGAGGAGCGATGCAATTCGTTTTTGATGTATGCAGGCCAGAGATAATCATGTTATGTAGCATGAATGAAGATATGTTTGTTATATTTTAATATACTTTTGAAATTTTGACATTGACAGTATTAGAGATTATGCAATAATGAGTGTGCATAGTGAAGGACTGTGAGCCACTGGGATTTTAAACATGTGACATTCAAGCTCCTACATCGTTAGCAACTTATACGTTCTGACAAGTTTACTGTGAATTCTCGCTGTAATTGGGAAAAAAGATGCCTGTTGGTCCTGAACACAACACATACTGCACTTTTTAATAAAGCTATGATGCTGAAAATGTGTATTGTTGTCATATTTGTCTGGATAAAATGAGAACATTTTGCCAGTGTCTGAACTCGAAGTACTTAACACAATGTGGCGCCTTGAAGAATAGTATAGGATTTGGATCATCCTAAAATATTTGTTCACAGATTCATTGTCATCCTTTCTGTAGGTTAGATTGTTATGCCAGTAGATGGCGACAAGTGACTGTCTTTGTTATGCCACCAGCGAGCCAAAAATCATTGATTCATTCACTCACTCAAACCATTCATTAACACACTGAATCTTACGACCAAAACAGTCTTATCTTTATATGGGAAAAATTTAAGGGGGTCTGAATACTTTCCGTACCCACTGTAGTAGTATTCTATTCTAGTATACTATTTCGAATTCATACTTATTATAAGAGTATCATTTTTTCAGCATTTTCCCTTCGTTTTGTGACTTTTCAAACTACAAAATGACAGATCTAAATAGGCTACTGTTTGACTTTCGTCTTCTGAACACACACACACACACACAAAATTTTTTGAAGAGCATTATTAACTAAATAGCTTTGGTTACCATAGACTTCCACTATATGAACCAAAAATAAGACATTTCTTGAAATAACAATTTTATGTTCCATGGAAGAAAGTAAGTCATACAGATTTGGAACGGCATGATGGTGAGTAGGCTAAATGATGACAGTTTTCATTTTGGTGTGAATTATCCCTTAAAAGGATAACGAACCATCAGCACCACTACATTAAAAAATACTTGCGTCTACGGCATTCGGAATAGCATAGTACCTATTTTACTAAAGTCATATCAAGAAAAGTCAGTGTCTGGTAGGCTGAAATACACTGCAACTTGACTACATTTCCCAGACTTCATCCGACACGTTACGTCACTCTTTGCCCAACCCGCAGTTCCTTATGTGGTGGATCCTCCGGACTGAAGCGGAGCGACGCCAGCGACCATGGCAGACACAGAGGACCCGGGTCCAGGCACGACCACTGAGCCGGACACCCCGCGCACAACCCGGCCACACTACGTCTCGTTCAGCGAGACCGTTCAGCCAGCGGTCGGGATGGTGAGCCAACTACTAAGCCAGCAGTCGTCCCTAAAGTTCGACAAAAACATCAAACAGGCCTTCTACAACACGGGAGCGATGATCTTCGTGGCGATCTGTTGCGGAGCAGCCGTGTTGGTCTACTTCATCCTGGAGGCTTTTCTACGGCCGCTGCTTTGGGCAGTGCTGTGCGGCACTTTCCTGCACCCCTTCAAATACTCGCTCGCCCGCCTCGGCCGCTCTTGGCTCAGCAGCCTGCAGGACAACGGCACACCGATAGTGGTTGGGACTCTGTTGGTACCGGTGTGGTGCGTGAACTACGGGGTGGAGACTCTGGGCGGACTGGTCGTAGATCGGCTCAATGTACTGCTGGCAGTTGGGGCCGGTGTACCCCTGCTTTATTTCTTATATCTGTTCTGGAGCGTCATTGGCATGCAGGTGATCCTCAGTCACGTCTGTACTGTCATCTGTCTCGGCCTGGATTGTTTCAGTGCGGCGTGGGTGAGTTCTGTCTGTGTATAATGACATGTGAATGGGACAGAGACACGCCTCCTGTCAGACAATGCGCAGGTGGTATAGTGGTTGTGGGACAGGGACTTATAACTTCACTCCTACATGGATAACAGAATAATTCGAGAATTTATGTATATTTATTAATATTTAGTAGTGAAACTTTTGTAACATTCATAACTGTTTAAACTTATATTGTGTAACAATGTTTGCTAGTGTAATATATGCAGTGTAGTATATATCTTACAGTGTTCAAATTTGTCAAGTGTCACTCTCCCCAGTGCGGCTAAATCATTTTCTGTCAGTGTCGAGCCCCATCATCATGGGGTGTCACATTTTGTCTGCGCCTCTCTTTCATCCGTCAGAGAATCATGTATTTATCTGCCAACCTCTGTATGACCACGTCTGGCTTTGGACAAACTAACCACGTGCAAATATATGTGTATACAAAAGTCTTCATGAACACAACTGGCCATGTTATGTCAACATATCTAGAACTCATGCTTAATATATGAATGGGAATTGGAGCATGACATCCCAAGATGCTAAAAATATGTCCCTTAGGCTACACACACAGGCCAGATAGATCACAAGACATATTTTAAGTTCTTCTAAAATTTACAAGAACTCTACAGGACTAAATTTCACCCTGACATTCAATTGAATGACCTTTTTTTTTTTTTTTACTTCCCTTTAGTGCTTAATTTAATTCTTACAGGTCATGTGATGTCTGTTTTTAGTCCAAATTGTCATCAGCCAAAAAAGCACCATCCAGCAGAACCTTGCGATCATCTCATAACAAGAAAACACTAAGGTGCTGATTTATTCAAGAAGCTGGCAGTGGAACTGACTGTATTTTAAAGGAACGGGAAGGGGGAAAAAAACGATATAATGTTTTGATACTTATGATGTAATTTATGACAGAATTTCTTATTTGGTAGAACAATTCCTTTGACCCACTTAATTGAAGTGTCTATTGATACACCCTCGCAGTGCCTATGAGAGCTGCGAACATACTGAGGGTTTTTGTGATTATAAATAGATCGGTGGCAAATGTTTGGTGCAGGTACAGTGGTTACCAGAGATGCCCATGTGTTCTCTGTCGTTCTCTTTCTCAGGTTGGCACTTTAGTTGTGGGCTACATGTTGGCTGTGGCATTTAAGTGGACACCTGGCATGGAAGGTTACTTGCGTACAATGTCTGTGCCCGTATGGACAGCACTTATTTTCTACCTGGGTAAGACCTTTCTGTTTTGAAACGGTGAATGACTCTTTTTATATTTAGCATTGACCTAAATCCTGTCAATGAAGGAATGCTAAAAATTCTGTATTTTCCCCCAGTTTCTCTGACAGGGTCTTGGCGTGTGCCTGTGTTTGTGGTGGTGGTGTTACTGCTAATAGTGGGTTCTCAGGAGAAGTCTGCTGTACCAGGGAAAGGTGAAGAGGCTGAGGCTCCAGCTCTCACATGTTATACCTCTGTTCCTGATGTCCTCTGACCTTTACTCCTCTGTTCTCTCTGTATAGGTGAGCTCTCTGGTCAGGTGATGTCCTTTGCTGCTAATACAATCTTCATGGCAATCTCCTGCAGTAACATCAGCCATGCTGAAAAGATACAGGAAGAGAAGAGCACCAAAGAACAATGCAGAGGTGACACAAAAAAGATAACAGACCAGTTTTGTCATGTAGCTGTTTGAAGTTATTTGCAGAACTGTTTCCCCTTTTGAGGGAAAATCTGTGGGATTCTGCAGAAATTATTTAAATGTGCAAGATTCTCTGTGGGTCAGGTTATGACTGAATTTTAGCAGTGTGTATATTTTAATTTAATAAGTATATAGTCTGTTTTGCTGCATGTTTCAGAGTGAAGCGTGGCACTATTTTCTTTTACATGTGAGAAGCTCATGATCCGGTGTTTTTAGTGTCTCAGAGCTGTTTGTTTCACAGTGAATGCAACAATCTCTGCATTTGCTAAACGTGCATTTTGGGAGCGCAGTATTCTCCAGTTACATTTTATTTTCATAATCATATAATTTCAGACATTTCTGTGAACACATGAATACAGGATTTTACTAGATTTGTACTGAGAAGCCTTTGTAAACCTGTTGTCATAGAAACTTAGACATCGAAAAGTCTTCCTTGCAGTTTTCCGCCAGCTCTTTATTGTAATTGTACTACTGCAGTGTACAGTAAAATAATTAATCATACTTATGAAATATTTTTTATAGTGGTAATATTATAATAGTAATATATTTCTGTCTCATTATTATTATTATTATTTCTATAGAATTCCACTCAGAGCTATCAGACCTGAGGAATTTCAGACAGTTTCAGTTGGTAAAAAATACTTTATGGTATAAATACTATAAATAAATACTTTATTTATTTTATATCAAAAGTAAATTCACTCAGATACTGATTGAATGTTATGCAATTTTTTGTTTGTTGTGACCATTTTTTTCTTGTGGTATCTAAAAATGTATCAAATGCAGATATTTTTCAAGGTATTGTACTGAGGTTTAGAAATTCCAGTATGGTAACAACAATTCTATCATCATTAGTAAAGAAGATTTCTCCTTTCCCTCACAGACTCGATGGACTCCCCAAAGGGACTCTTTAGCATTCCCTCATCCCAGCGGCGTAGCAGACTAGAGTTCAGGGGTATCCAGCCCAAAGGGAAGGCCAGTGACATTTACTTTGTGCTGCTCGCGTGGGCTATAGTGCTGGTGCAGATCTGGCTCAACCTCTGGATCTTACAGTTACTGCCCATCCCTGTTGGCGGTAAATTTTGTGTTCATGGTCCTAAGGTCAACAAGTTAAGGATAGTATGCATGTTTTCATGTATGGGTGTTATATTT